ATATGATTAAAAAATTATTTATATATATATATATATATATATAAACCAAAATTAGAAATATTTATATGTAAAAATTTATATTATTTTAATTTTCTTTTATTTTTTTAAAATTATTCATATTTATTTAAAAGAAAAAAAGAAGAAAAAAAAAATAGGAGCGGGGGCGGGGGCGGTTTAAATTTGCGGGGGCAGGGGCGGGAAACGTAAAACCCGCCCCCGCCCCGCCCCGTTGCCATGCCTAGTGTGGACACATCCTAAACAAATAATAGGTCAAGCACCAAGGCCAATACAGAAAACCACATGGTCTATACATGAATAAAATCTCTGCCTATTTAGAAATAGAACATGCTATTCTCTTACCATAGGGCATAAAAGCTAAAGCGCAGACATGGTCAACTTTATGGTTGAACTAGTTTGTCAGAGTTCATACTCAATGGTCCAAAGACAGTAAATAAACAAGAAGGTTCAAAACAGAATGACCAGCAGGTTGAAATCTGCCTTCTTCTATGTTTCATTCTTAGAGCAGCATTAATTTAAAGAAATGAATTAGCTCAAGTGAGTTGATACTTGATGCTCAATCATTGAGGCATGCTTCCTTCTTCCAAAAGCAGAGTGATGATAGATTTAATGATCTCATTATTCAGAACAGTCGCATTCTGAAAGGAAACACAAACCCAAGTATTATTCTCATGTTGAAATCAGTCATCATGTAGCTATGGTAAATCATAATGTAAAACAATGCATTCCCAGATTGAAGGAATATGTAAAATGCCAGTTATATAATTAAATAATAAAAATGGCTCAAAATTCAAGGAATAGGAGGGCACAGTAGACACTGATGAAGCTTGTTGCATATTAATGTAACTGGTGTATAGAAGCTTGAATTTCACATTTAACTGAAACAATTATGAGCTTACGGTAGACTTAGAAGCATCACAAACACCAAAACATATTCGAGAAATAGGTTAGTCCAACCATCCAGTTCAGGGCATAGATACGAAGCATGCAAATTAAGCTATGAGCAATTTTTTTTGCCATTGAGGCATGGAATGGACAGTACGACAAATCCTCTAATAATAACAAGGATGAAGATTAAAAATTATCACTCCCAATTCTCTCAAATGAAATAAGAAAGAACTAATGAGCTTGCTTTAAAACTAAACTCAATCTTGACCATTAAACTTCACTAACTATGGAAATTGTTAAGACATGCAATGGGCAGTAGAAGCATAAAACATAAAAAACCATTCAAAACCATAAAACAGAGAAGAGGAAAGGTTAAGGAACAAAGCAATTTCGTATTTGTTGGATAACCATGCCATTCTGCATATTTTTCATTCATATATAATACAAATACATGAAAAATGATAGCCATGCATAGAACCCATAAATGCTGTCAGTAAAACACATGTCCCCACCATCATTAAGTGTGTAGATTTGCCTAAAATTAGATACTTAGCAAGATATTATCCACTGGAGTAACCAAACATAATTACAGCAGAACTTTACCCACTAATACAAGCAACCATAGTTAATTATAGTAGTAAAAAATAAAGGAAAAGTTTTACTGTTTTAACACTCCTTAAAACTTTTCTTAAAGACTCCTAACTTGCTTCTTAGCTCATTAAACTTAACACTTAGAAGGGCCTTAGTGAGTATGTTTGCCAATTGCTCCTCGAACCTGTTAGAAAAGTTGGCCTTTGACGGTAAATTTGCTTCAAGTAATCCCACATGGCTTTGGCGGTCGAAAACGAATATAGATTATTAACCATTTGAGGCTCAATGGAACCAAGAATCCAAGAAATAATTTGTGCATCCTTGGTCTCCCAAGCCGTCAAAGCAGCGTTGTCTGTGGGGGCAGTAGAGGACTCATTGATGTGACCCCACATCCCCTTCCCTTTCACGAATATCTTGAAATGAAACTCCGAGGCAGCATAATTTTTGCCGCTGAAACGGATACAGAGATTCTCCATAGCCATGAAGACACGAACAAGAACAGGAGAAAAAAAATTGAACCCCGAACCAGAAGCACGAAACAGAAGCACGGATCAAAAACAAGAACTGAAGCACGAACTGAAGCACCAACCAAAAGCACGAGCCCTAAATGGATTGAGAGAAGCATGGACTGAAGCACGAACCAGAAGCACAAGCCCTAAACAGACTGAGAGAAGCACGGACTGAAGCACAAACCAGAAGCACGAGCCCTAAATGGACTAGAGAAGCACAGACTGAAGCACGAGCCCTAAATGGACTGAGAGACAATTACAGGCTAGAAAACCTGACTCGTGATACCATGTTAGAAAAGTTGGCCTTTAATGCCTATCTCATTCCTTTCTTCCAAATAAATAATACAAAGATATTTTTAATTATTTATGATAGAATAAATCTAATTCCTAATTTGTAGGAAGTCTAATTATATGTAATAAATAAATTGATTGTTATTCCTAAAATACATAATATATAATAGGAAATAGTAACAGTAATTGATTTCCTCATTAATAGGACCTGCAATACATCAAGTGAACATCTCCCTTATAGCATGAAATTTGACATTGATATGCTTGGTTCTTCCATGTTGAATTGGATTTTTAGCAATTGAAATGGCTGACTTGTTATCACACCATAACACAGTAGGTTCCATTTGCATATGACTCAAATCTGTCAAGACTTTCCTAACCCATATAGCTTGATTTGAGGCTGCTGTTGCAACTACATATTCAGCCTTGACAAAGGATTGAGCAACCACATCTTGCTTCTTAGAGTTCCATGAAAATACTCCACTACCAAGTGAAAAAACATACCATGTTGTGCTCTTAGAGTCATCAATAGATTCAGCCCAATACTATCAACAAAACCTTCAACCTTTCCATCACTTTTGCTATACCAAATGCCACAATCAATCGTACCTTTCAAGTATCTCAACACTCTTTTGCCTACACCAAAGTGTGTCAAACTTGGTGAATGCATGAATCTTGAAAGTAAACTACTGCAGAACATCAAATCAGGTCTGGTTTCAGTCAAATAAAAAAGACTACCAACCAAACTTCTATATTGAGTCACATCTGCCTTTGCATCACCACCAACCTTGGAGAGCTTTTCATTGGCAGCAAGTGGAATTGAAACAGGATTACAATTCTCCAATTTGAATTTCTTTTAGCAAGTCATTTGCATACTTTTTCTGTGAGAGAAAAATTCTATCATCAATCTGATGCACTTCCATCCCCAAAAAATACCTCATCATTCCAAGATCTATCATTTCAAAAAATTGCAACATGCTGATTTTAAATTCTTCAATTTCATCAACATCATCACCTGTAATCAACAAATCATCAACATAAAGTGAAACTACAATTTTCTTTCCATTGCTACAATCTTTCACATAAAGAGTAGGCTCATTTTGGCTCCTCTTGAAATCATTTTGCAGAAAATGAGAATCAATTCTGCTGTATCAAGCTCTTGGAGCATGTTTCAGCCCCTACAAGGCTTTAAGAAGCCAATAAACTTTTTCTTCATGACCTGCAACAATAAAACCAGCAAGCTATTCAACATATATTTCTTCTTGTAATACTCCATTTAAAAAGGCAGATTTAACATCCAAGTGAAAGATTTTCCAACCATATTGAGCCGCTAATGCAACAATTAATCTAATTGTTTCATCCTAGCAACTGACGCAAATGTATCACCATAATCAACTCCAGCCATTTGAGAATACCCCTTCACAACAAGCCTTGCTTTGTGCTTGTGGATGGAACCATCCGGATTGAATTTTGTTCTATAAACCCATTTGACGCCAATCACATGTTTGTCCTTGGGCTTTGAAGAAAGTTCCCAAGTGCCATTTTTGTTAATCATGGTCAGCTCCTCCTTCATTGCATCTTTCCATTTTTCGTGCATTGAAGCTTCTTCAAAACAAGAAGGCTCACTTATAACAAAACTACATTTTTCATAAATTTCAGCTAAATACTTGGATTTTAGCACAGGAGAATCAAATTCAGTAATATGATTTTTATTCTCATTTGCAGTTTGCTCATGGTCAGAAGTGGTTGTCAACTGTTCTATTTTTGTGCTTCTTTGAACTTCATTATTTTCCCAATTCCAGTATGCATTCTCATTAATTTGAATATCCCTGCTGATCACAATCTGTTTTGACCTCATATTGTACACCCGATAACCTTTGGAGTTTGCAGCATAGCCTAAGAAAATCCCCATTTCAGCTTTGTCATCTAATTTGGATCTTTTTGCTGCTGCAACATGAGTATAACAAATAGATCCAAAAATCTTCAGGTGTTTGGCAATGGGCTTCACTCCAATCGAAGCTTCAATTGGTGTTTTTTCTTGAACAACTATTGTTGGCAGCCTAAGAAGCTTGACGTATCACTAGGGCGGCAGTCAACCATACCAGTCTCGATGAGAATGTCCATATTTTCTTTGGGAAATTGCAATACCAGAAGTGGAGTGAGCAACCTCGATCCCCAAAAAGTATCTAAGTGGACCAAGGTCTTTCATCTGAAATTCGCGTTGAAGGTGAGATTTGAGGCAGCAAATACCATCGAAGTCATCACCAGTAATGACAATGTCATCAACATACACCACTAAATAAATACAAAGTCCAGATGAGGAGTGAAGGAAGAAAACAGAGTGGCCAGCGAGGTGAGTTTGCTAATGGAAATTAAATTAAAAGGACAACCAGGAACAAACAAAACAGAGTGTAAAGAGAGGTGAGGGAGAACCTTTTCTTGATCAAAGATGAGTGATCACTCTAGTGTACATGGTCATAACTCCTATAGTAGTAGACCTAGTATTAGGGATGAACTTAGAGAATTAAAAGAGTACATAAGAAAAAAAGAAAAGGAAAACACAAGAAGGGAAGAAGATCTTAGGAGAAGAGAAAAAGAAAATGCAAAGAATAATTAGGAAATAAGAAATTTACTTGCAAAATTGGTTGTAGAAACTAGTGGATCCAAACCTAGGGTTGTTCCAACTAGGTCTGAAATAGGAAAAGGGGTTAGAATCCCTAAGAGTATGCGTGAGGAAGAAAATACAAAAAGAGAGGAAGAACTTAGAAGAGAGGAAAAAGAAAAGAAAATACAAATAAAGAAAGAAAAAAATAAGAAAAGTATAGAGAGAGTTGAAGAGTGGTTAGAAAAAGAAAAATAGCAAACAATACTCTTCTCTAAGAGTAAGGAGGATAAGATACTAATCTCTAATATTATGGAAACTAATCTAATCATATCCCTAATTGATAGTGAGGATAATATCTGTATCCACAATATCTGTAACACTCCCCCTCAAGCTGGAGCATATATATCATATGCACCAAGCTTGTTACAAATGTAATCAACCCAAGGCCCTTTAAGCGATTTTGTGAACACGTCTGCTAACTGGTCACTGGAGTGGACAAATTCAGTGGTGATCTCTCCTGAGAGCACTTTCTCTCTTACAAAATGACAATCTATTTCTATGTGTTTAGTCCGCTCATGGAAGATTGGATTGGAGGCAATGTAGATAGTAACTTCATTATCATAGATGAGTTTAGTTCCCTGAGTGTCTCCAATTTGAAGTTTCTTGAGAAGTTGTTGTAGCCATGTAATTTCACTTGCAACTGTTGACATAGCACGATATTCAGCTTCCGCAGCGGATCTAGCAACTGTAGTTT